CGGGCGCGACACTGAGGGTTGCAATCCGTTGCCAGACATGAAAAAAGACAAAAAAAAAAAAGGAAAAAAAAAAACCCACATTTTAGTTGTTACAACTATAACATCTATATATTTACGTCAAAAGCCAATTCACTCCTGGTTGAGATTTACAGCTCAGGAGGAGTTAAATATGAAATATGGAAAATTTCCCTAGAGACCTTTAGTTTTCTTTTTTCATGGTGGCAGATAATTTGATGCATTTAAAAAAAATAGAAGTGTAATGAACATACCATAGTACAGCTATGGGGATTTACTTCTAAGATAAAGATCAGGGGTATTTTTAAGGAAGAGACAAGATGGTAGGTGTGTCTCTGATTAAAGCAGAACATATCTGATGCTCTTTCTGTATTTTATGCTCATCGATGGACATGTGCAATGAACTGATTGCCACTTCCAGTTTTATTGCATTAAGAGATTTTCTTGTCAAATATGGAAGAGTGTGACCTTTCTTTATCTGTTTTTCCTTCCTTCTATCCCCAGTGATCCTAATCAGCCAGTTCCTCAGGACACCAAGTTCATTCACACAAAACCCAACCGCTTTGAGGAAGTGGCCTGGTCCAAGTATAATCCCAAAGACCAGCTGTATCTGCATATTGGCCTGAAGCCCAGAGTGAGGGATCACTACCGAGCAACAAAAGTTGCATTCTGGTTGGAACTTGTCCCCCATTTACACAACTTGAATGAGATATTCCAGTATGTCTCAACAACCACAAAAGTCCCTCCTCCAGACATGACATCCTTTCCATATGGTACCCGGCGATCGCCTGCTAAGATATGGCCAACAACCAAACGTCCAGCTATCACTCCTGCCAACAACCCCAAACACTCCAAGGACCCTCACAAAACAGGGCCCGAAGACACCACTGTCCTCATTGAAACCAAACGGGATTATTCCACCGAATTAAGCGTCACTATTGCTGTAGGGGCATCCCTACTCTTCCTCAACATCTTGGCGTTTGCAGCGCTCTACTACAAAAAGGACAAGAGACGCCATGAGACGCACAGGCGCCCGAGTCCCCAGAGAAATACCACCAATGACATCGCACACATCCAGAATGAAGAAATCATGTCTCTGCAGATGAAGCAGCTGGAACACGATCATGAGTGTGAATCTTTGCAGGCTCACGACACGCTGCGACTCACCTGCCCGCCGGACTACACCCTCACGCTACGCCGTTCCCCGGATGACATCCCACTTATGACACCCAACACCATCACCATGATTCCAAACACATTGACGGGCATGCAGCCTCTGCATACGTTCAACACCTTCAGTGGGGGACAGAACAGTACAAATTTACCCCACGGACATTCGACCACCAGAGTATAGCTTTTCGGTTCCCCTCCCCTCCCTCTGCCCCTCCCCCCAACAACATAAAAGAGATCAAGAGAGAAGGCAAATCTCCAAACCAAGAATGTTTTTCATCCCACTGACTTGGGACAAAAATACAGAAGAGCAATCACAATGTCCCTCTGAACTCCTCCCCTTGGCATTTCCCAGTATTACAAGATC